GTTTATTTAAAATTCAATCAAAAGCAAGATTTACAAAAATATACATATAAAGAGCAATTCAATGGTAAACGTTTCTTATTTTTTAACTATTTATAATTTGAAATAATTGTAACTGCATTGTCCCTTTCGGATAAATAGGGCCACGTGGTTATTTTCTATTTTCGTTTATTTAAAATTCAATCAAAAGCGAGATTTATAAAGATTTAAATACATGTATAAAGAGCACTTCGATAGTTAAGGTTTAAAATTATAATTAAAATTTTACAATTAACATCAAAATTAGAAACCTAGATTAAGATTTTAACAAAAATTTTAAAATATGATCAGCAGCTACCTTTCTCATAGAGTTCCAGAACGAAAAGGAAGCAGCGGGCTCGCGCAGCTCCTTATATATAGTGTTCTAAATATAGCTCTCAGACTGAGCATGCGTATTGATACGCAGTACAACTGATCGATAGATTAAGACATGTGTCATTCATGTAAAATAAAAGAGTTTAATCTTGAATGGTTAAACTTTGATATTAGTTTCACATAGTGATTAGATGATTCCTGTAGCAGGATACCTGTAGGTACATGTATGTACTAACTGAACAAACTAGAAAAATCCAGACTATAATTAACCAGTAAAATAAAAATCTATCAATATTCACTCCTCAGAGTCTCTATTTTTTATATATTTTTTTTATTTATACATTTTAGGAACAATTAGCACATGATACAAAATATAAAATCATACAGTTAAGAGATAACATATATATATCATATATATAAAATGAGATCATAAAACAGCATAAATTTAAACAGCACACTTTTGTCATAAAAAATAAAATAAGAGGTACTATGCACCTATGGATAGCCCATTAAGCTAAATGCTAATTTCCAATGGGGTCCATAGAAATAAAAAAAAAACAACATAATTTTAACCCTCCCCCCCCCCCCCCCCTAAGAAAAAAAACAAACAAAAAACAACAAGAGGTGGAGTGACAGCTTATTGTCTACGAGCCATTCTGAACAGCTTTCTAGGGCTGTCCCAAGTTTTTCTGAGATGAAATTCGGGTATTTATGTGAGAATAAAATAGTGCTGTCATCTGCATACAGTATTAACTTGCAATCATTATCAATACTTAAAATCATATCATTTACGTAGCACAGAAAAAGCAACGGCCCTAGAATACTACCTTGGGGGACGCCACAGGTCACACTGTTTGATTTAGAGTAAGTATTTCCTATATTAACAATTTGTGAACGTTCTGAAAGATATGATCTGAACCAGGAAATAGACTGAACACCCATTAATTCTAACTTTCCACTAAGAATATCATGGTCTACGGTGTCAAACGCCTATTGCAATTCAAGCATCACCATACCTGTGTATAGCCCTTTACTAGTATTAATTCTTATAACATCTTGTAAGTGAATAAGACAGCTATCTGTAGAATAACACCTTCTAAAACCAGACTGGTGTTCATACAGTAAATTATTGGAAACCAAAAATGTTTCAAGTTGAACATAAGCAGCTTTCTCTAAAATTTTTGAGACTACACTTAAAATACTGACAGGACTATAATTACCAACTTCTAGAACACTATTCTTCTTGTAAAGTGGTTTTACTCTAGCCAACTTCATTTCATCTGGTACTTTACCTTCAGAAAAAGATAGATTAACAATGTAAGTAATTGGTATTTTCAAAACACTAGAACCATCCTTCAAAAATCGGGCAGGAATACCATCTAATCCTGTGCTTTTACTAGCATTTAAGTTGCATATGTCCTTAAAAACAAAATTTTCAGATACATGTTGTAGATTTAAAATATTACTATCAGGATTTCTTTTACTATAAAAATTGAAAAGCTTTTCAGACCCTAAATCATACAATTTTTTACTCGAAGGTAATTTCTCAACAAGTTTAGAAGCAACACTTGTAAAAAAATCGTTAAAATAATTTGAAACAGCATCAGCGTCATGGCAGTTTTCACCATTAATAGAAAATACAATATTTAAAGATTTCTTCTTGTCATTTTTATATCCCAAAGTCTTTAAGTTTTGCCAGTGTTTGGATTAAATTTGTTTTCCTCTATTTTGTTAGTAAAATACTCAGACTTAGCAGTCTTTATATCTCTTTGAATTTGATTCCTTAACTTACAAAAAATCTTATAATCCTCTCTTTCACCATACTTTTTGTATCTATATAAATGCGAGGCTCTTTGTTTGATACTATCTAGTATTTCGGAGTTAATCCAAGGTTCTGACTGGTGACGTAGTGCTTTTGATGACCTTACAACTGGTAAATTTTATACAACAAAAATAGTACGTAATACGTAAGTTAGACAGAAAAGAACAAATAATTTAGTAAACATGAGTTACTTCCCCTTAAAATAAAGAAAACATGAAACCCAAAAGAACAGCATAAACAGCAAAATTATGAAATGTTACAGGCTCAGTTTTATTAAGCCATGTAAAGTAATGGTAGTAAGTATTCATAAAAAGTTAGATGGTCATTTGACTGCAGTAATTGCAGAAAATCGGATAGATTTCAAAATCCGGATACTGGTACACTTTGTAAAAACAATCATTCTGTGCAATAGATTAACGTAATATAGATGAAATTAATAAGATAAACGTTTACAACAGTGCCATACCTATCCTTATACTCATTTTCAGGTGAACGTTCTTCTTGTAGGAAAACTTTGAAAATATATAAATGAATGAAAAGGAATACGGCATCAATGTAGACCACAACGATATTCGAAATCCGGGTTTTAGTATTGCCAATAAAGCCAAGGGATAAGCTGTTAAACTGAGTCTGCAATTTCGTGAAAATAATATCACATACATATGGAATGCCGGTAGGGACATGCCACTTTGCTTATTTGCCAACTACTTAATTGCTTATTTGCTAATTGCTGATTTGCCAATTTGCTTCTTTGCTGATTTGCCATTTTGCTTATTTGCTAATTGCTTATTTGCTTATATACATAAATTTTTATGCTATTGTCAGGCGACACGTCCGACTCGCGAAGTTCTTGTTATCCCCCGCCGATGGAATCGGGAGGGGGATATAGTTTTGGCGTTGTCCGTTCTTCCGTCCATCCGTCCGTCCGAATTTCGTTTCCGGAGTAGTTCTCTGCAACTACTGGCTGGAATTCAACGAAACTTTATGGGAATCATCAATATCAAGAGGAGATGCGCATATCGTCGGCTTGTTCCGGTCCGACACTTTAACTCAGAGTTATGGCCCTTGATTAGTTATGTAGTATGCATATAGAGTAAAAATTGTTTCCGCACTACTTATCTGCAACTACTGGCTGGAATTCAACGAAACTTTATGGGAATCATCAATACCAAGAGGAGATGCGCATATCGTCGGCTTGTTCCGGTCAGACCCTTTAACTCAGAGTAATGGCCCTTGATTAGTTATGTAGTATGCATATAGAGTAAAAAACGTTTCCGCACTACTTCTCTGCAACTACTGGCTGGAATTCAACGAAACTTTATGGGAATCATCAATACCAAGAGGAGATGCGCATATCGTCGGCTTGTTCCGGTCAGACCCTTTAACTCAGAGTAATGGCCCTTGATTAGTTATGTAGTATGCATATAGAGTAAAAATCGTTTCCGCACTACTTCTCTGCAACTACTGGCTGGAATTCAACGAAACTTTATGGGAACCTTCAATACCAAGAGGACATGCGCATATCGTCGGCTTGTTTGGGTCAGACACTTTAACTCAGAGTTATGGCCCTTGATTAGTTAGGCAGTATCCATATAGAAAAATATTTGTTTCCTCGCTACTTCTCTGCTACTACTGGCTGGAATTCAAGGAAACTTTATGGGATACTAAGAGGAGATGTGCATATAGTCGCCTTGTTCCAGTCAGATACTTATAACTCAGATTTATGGCCCTTGATTAGTTATGCAGTATGCATACATCTCATCGGCATTTCCAGATTTTACTATTTAACACAAAGTTATGGCTCTGTTATTGCCCTGAATATTTATCATGTTCAAAGAATATTACTGTTTATGCCATGATTAATATATAAATAAAGCCTTATGTCTTCAGTTGTTGTGTTAATAATACTCGGCGGGGGATATAAATTCAATGAATTTGCTTGTTTGATATAAAATAACAAGTCTTTGTAGACTTTATTTCAAGCTAATGAACCTATATCATGTTATTATGCTTATAAAGTTTTGTTAATTATAACTTGTGACAATTATGATCAATCCATCATTACCTAGAATATAGGTAGAAAGACAGATGGATACATTTTAATCAATTTCAAAAAAATAAATTCAGTTTCAGAAAGTAGTTGTTTTTTTAATTATCTTGAGTTTCAGTTTTAGCTCCACTATTCAGAGAATAGGGATGCTATTCTATCCACCAATGCATTGGTTTTCTTGGTAACTTGTTTTTCCGTCATATCTCTGTTACTTTTGCTGATTCATGCATCTTACTGCAACTTTGCATAAACTTTGCGTTACAAGCATGCATACAAAGTACATGAAGAAGCTGTGCCGTTATATACTGAATGTCAAGGTCACCAATGTATTGTACTGAGAAGCCTTTATTTTTCTGTCATATCTCTGTTAATATTGCTTAATTATATCTATCTGTAACTTCACATAAGCATTAAATAGGCAGCATGCATACACAATATTCAAAGAGGATTTGTCCATTAAACCCTAGGTCATGATCATGGTCATGGTCACCTGATAGCATGTAAAATGTACAACATGAAGAAATGGAAAAGTGTGACCAAATTTCAAAAACTTTGAACCAAAGCAAAATGTTGATGCACACACAGTCATAAGTGATCTCAAAATCTTACAGAGCTAAAAACGAAGCCTATTGCTTAAGTGCAAAGACAAACACCCGTGTTAAGCATGCACCAAATGTATCATTCGTGATACTATTTGTTCGTACCACTACAATGAGGCCCTCTGTGACAAATCTGCTGAGAATAACGACATTTTATATGCCATAAAATAAACAATAGTTTTGTTTTCAAGTTCTTTTATTTTCAATCTTTACCCAATAATTTTCACTTACATATGACTAATCAAGTGTTTATTATGCCATCAATCTCTGACTTAAGCTGCACAAACAGATCTATAGCTGCAACACATTATAAGGCATTCTCAAGCACAGATGCTTGCGGGTCAGATCCTGCCCCTAACGTGATACGCGTCTGTAAACACTATATCAAAACTATTTTAATATTTATTTAAATACGAATTGGACATTTGTTACAACGATAAAACCATTAAGTACTTTATTGAGACTTGGTGGTATATGGTATTTTTTCATACCGGTATATGTAAAAATTGCTTGAAAACCAGTTTTAACGATGTCCAATTCGTGTTTAAATATTAATATTATTTTAAATAGAGTGTTTACAGGGGCACGTATCATGTTGGGGTATGGGATCTGACCCCCAAGCGTCTGTGTTCTAAAGGACATGTCAGCCATCAGTTGTAGACATATATCTGCGTAGGCATCACTGCAACTAAATTCATTGACCAACAGTATTCTTGGAAAAACACTGAATTTACAAGAATACTGTTGGTCAAAGTTAACAGATCTGACTCAACTGGTTGTCTGTAGTCAGATTTTCCATATACTTCCGGCACAGTGTAAACTATTTCTATTGCAAAAAAGCAAATAAGCAATTGGCAAATAAGCAAATACGTAAACCAGCGGTTAACAAATAAGTAAATTAGCAATTCAGCAATCGGCAAATAAGCAAATTTGTCGTTAAGACTATCAGCCATTGGCAAATAAGCAAATCGGCAATAAGCAAATAAGCAATTCAGCAATTGGCAAATAAGCAAATTGGCATGTCCCTACCGGCATTCCATAATGCACATGCTTTTTACATAAATTTATTAAATACATAATTATATAACAACATATTTGTTTACTTGATTTTTACGAATCAAAATAAAACTAATTAACACAACATGGCATCAACTGCTAATAATAACAGCTTTACATAAAGTTATTAAATACATATATAACAACATATTTGTTTACTTGATTTTTACGAATCAAAATAAAACTAATTAACACAACATGGCATCAACTGCTAATAATAACAGCTTTACATAAAGTTATTAAATACATATATAACAACATATTTGTTTACTTGATTTTTACGAATCAAAATAAAACTAATTAACACAACATGGCATCAACTGCTAATAATAACAGCTTTACATAAAGTTATTAAATACATATATAACAACATATTTGTTTACTTGATTTTTACGAATCAAAATAAAACTAATTAACACAACATGGCATCAACTGCTAATAATAACAGCTTTACATAAAGTTATTAAATACATATATAACAACATATTTGTTTACTTGATTTTTACGAATCAAAATAAAACTAATTAACACAACATGGCATCAACTGCTAATAATAACAGCTTTACATAAAGTTATTAAATACATATATAACAACATATTTGTTTACTTGATTTTTACGAATCAAAATAAACTAATTAACACAACATGGCATCAACTGCTAATAATAACAGCTTTACATAAAGTTATTAAATACATATATAACAACATATTTGTTTACTTGATTTTTACGAATCAAAATAAAACTAATTAACACAACATGGCATCAACTGCTAATAATAACAGCTTTACATAAAGTTATTAAATACATATATAACTACATATTTGTTTACTTGATTTTTACGAATCAAAATAAAACTAATTAACACAACCTGACATCAACTGCTAATAATAACAGCTCTTTCCAGCCAAAATAAAAAGCATTCCATAAGAGACGACGCCGCTCACCGGCGTCGCCAACAACAACAGCAAAACAAACATTCAGAAGAAATGTACATCGATTTCTCAAGTTTTACCTGTATAAGTTATACAACAGTAAAACACCAGTTATGTTTAATTATTCTTAAATGTCTTCTGTGTCAATCAAGTATTTATTTGTCTCTAGTTGCGTCAAAAAAATCCTGATGCAGCATTGGAGTCTGTTGGTTTTGTACATTCAACAGACCTTTTATCACTCTGGAACGATGTCAAACTCAGGCGATTTGTTTCTTGTAACGTTCTGTAAAGTAAAATACAAATCGTTTCATTTGGAGAATCTATATTTAAATATTTATGTTATGCAAGTTTATATTCAATGTACAACAGTTTAATCAAAGCACAAATGGTTTGATATTCAATGGCAAAACTTCAACTTAATGTTACTCACACAATTTGAAAAGTTATAGATTCTAGTTCATGCAAGTGATTCCACATAACCATTTTACCTTGATATATGACTTTAATAAATTTACTTTCATGTTTGATATCTTTTTCATTGGTTGATCAAACTTTATGTGTATATCAGAACTCCACTTAACAACACAAGGAATGTATTTTCTACGTACTTTTTTAATTCAAGCAGTGATTGCGTGTTTGAATCCATTAGAGAATCCAGCTCATATTTCTCTGTTTCATACTTCGTAACCCTGTTAATATAAAAGTATACATGTATATGTTTTATAAATCGGTCATTCATAAATAAGTATCCCCTTTCAAAACTCAAGTAATGTTTTTCTTCTAAATTATCATGACAAAATTGAAATATTAATTATTTATAAACATACAATAAAAGACTGTTAATACAGAACGTGTTTTACGTATTGTAACACTAGGAAAAAAGTGCTCATTCGTCAAACACTGTTGAGATAATACAGTTTATTTGTAAAATAACTTACTCAGACAGAAAGCGCCTCATTGGAAGTGCCTTTTCACCTTTTTCTGTTGCAGAGCCAGATGATGGTTCCGAGATATCTGTTATCTCTGTTGATTCACTTTGATCAAGTTTAGCCTTTTTACGAACAAGATCTGGGCTGTCAACTATTGTCTTGATATTACTTTTCAGTAACTCAGACACAGTGCCATAACACTCATCTATCTAAATACAGTGAAGGTTACAGTTTAATAAATAGTGTTTTCAGAAAAATGTACATTTCTCATTTAAATATTAAAATGCAAAACTTGAGCGAGACTGATCTTGCTGTATACTTGAGACAAAGTTTAAGATTTATGTTGTTTCCTGCATGGTAAGGGATAGTTAAGACTGATAATGACTTGTAAAGTAAGAATCTAATTATTACCGCATATTTTTTATAGCGTATTATATACTTAATATGGCGTATTATATTAACATGGACATGCTTTTATTTTTATCTAAATTTCGTACGGCTATCATAAAACAATAATTCAGTTTTAAAATAGGATGTCTTTCAAACATAGATCAAAACAAGTAGTACATACTTTGTCAAGTTTTTCATTAACTTGTGTCTCACAATCAACAACACATTTTATGTTTGTTTCCACTTTCCCTGTTCTTGTTAAATGCTTCAATAAAACACTGAAACAAAAGAGCTGTAACATGTAACATGTAACATGTGAACAACCTTTATGATACAGGTGTCTTATGATTATTGAAAACATTGTCAATATTTTAAAATAGAAATGTGTGCATATGACACGCTGCTTCCATTTTCCATTTTTGTTCAGTCTACGAAAGGTCAACGTAACAGCAGCACAGCATGACGGTCGGACGGACAGGCAGAGGCAAATCTTTACTCTCTCCCAAGTCGGGGGGGGGGGGATAAAAAAAAAGTCTGTCGTCTCATTTTGATTCCTAAATAACTCAGCTAATTATATTGATTCAATGCATGTAAAAATGAACTAGAATAAGCAAGGATGTTACCTTAAATGCTTGTTAACAGCAACATGGACACGTTTCAAGTTCTCAAGACAATGGCTTTGAAATAGTGACACAATCTTCACGCATAAATCTTCAAGCTTTTGTCTGAAAAAAGATGAACAAAATGAACATTTTAAAAGTTTTTTGCGTTACTGCTATTTGAACAAAATATATATTCACATGTATATACAATAAGCAGGTATACTACAGATCTTTAACCCGCCATTCAAAATAGGTCATTAGCGGTGCAATTAATGATATACATTAAGATATACATTAATTATGAGGAGCAAGTTTTACTTAACAATCAACATTACTTTGAGGAGCAAACATCAATAAATATAATTATGAGAAAGCAAAATAGATACTCCCTGTATTTCACGACATAAATGGCACAATCAACATTTTTTTTCGCAATAGGAAGACCTTTGGGCAGATTATTTACATGTTTGATTTAAATATTCTTGTGTAAAAATCATTTTAACAAATTGATTTTTAAGGACATTTTTTTTACATAATTGCTTTAAAAAAGGTTTGTAAGCTCACTTTCTTTTAGGATCTTGTTCAGGTGAAGTACGTGAATTAATAAATTAAAGATTACGCGTATATCATATTACTAGTCTTTTTGGCTCGAGAAATTTCCATATCTATTTATCGATATGTAAATATAGAGATATGACGCAACGGGTTATACCCATAGTTACTTATCTTAGTCACCAGAGTTATTCAATCGCATATACAATGTACATAATACGTAGTAGTATTTACGTCAATCTGATTATTGAATAAAGACGCGTAGTAAAAAGAAGAGTAGTAAACAACTAATGACCTTCATGATTATATAGTCTGTTTCTTGTACATGTAGTAGCGTATTGTATATTGCAATATTAGTAGCGTAGTAAACAACTAATGACCTTCATGATTATATAGTCTGTTTCTTGTAGTAGCGTATTGTTTATTCCGTAGCTTGTGGCGTACGGATTTTATACAAATACTTGTAACCTTCCTAAAAATATTTTTTTTTTATTTCAAATATGAACAAAATAAATATTTTGTGATACCTTTCGACTTGGTGTATAAATTTTTCATGAGGGAGCAGCTCTCCACATTTCTTATGTTTAGAGAATGTACTTGACACAGTTTGGATACCTTGTCGAATATGTTCAATTCTTGGCAAACTGAAAATAGAAAAACCATGACAAATAAAAACTAAACCATCATACTTTTTTATATGATTATATCTACATATACTATATATTCTAGTAACGACCAGTCAGATATATTTCAATTTCAAATTTAACATTTAGTCCTTAAATGTTTGTGTTTCGATCAGTAAAGACACTAATGTAACAAAGGTAACTTTGGATTGTATTTTCAAACAATCTTTTTTTTAAATTTTAAACAATTCATTAATTTCATTCTAGTCATTAAATTAAATATCTTTAGTCAGAAATGTAGTTTTTTTTTAATCTGTGTTTTATACAAAAAAAATTAATTCTTAGACTTGTCCTCAATGTTTATTTGTTTGATTGGGTTTTACGCCACACCGACAGAGTATAATGTTAGGTCATATGGGGACGTTCGAGCTTTACTTGTGGAGGAAGACCACATGTGCCTCTCTGTGAAACAAACGGGCACCTGAGTAGAACCACCAAGGTTATGTAAGCCAGCTGGATATTATATCAATGTCGATCAACAGAAACAACCTAGTTTAAGTCGCTCTAAAGTATTTCAACTGATTTCATATGGAGGGTTACTTTATAACACTATGACGTTCTCGGAATCTGCAGTTTAAACCAAAGCTAGAACAGTAAAAGGAACAAGGTAGTACATATCTTCTAAATTTACACCATGAGGTAAAACTGTCCTAATATTTTTTTGCATTCACACCATAAAGTAAATACCCATATATTTATGAAAGAAAAGAATGAGGAAGTGTCCGTAACAATTGCTTAAGTAAAGGACACAAACATAAAAATCCCTAAGTTCTTATCATTACGGAAGTAGTGTGTTTACACTAAAATATAATAAACGTGATAACATTTATGAAATCAGAATATGACTGGCTGTCCATGTATGTTTTATGTGTCAATCAGCATATTTTGTTAACATATTCTCTATGTCACTTTTGATATTGTCAGATGTATCACTTGATAACAGCAAAACATACAAAATCGCGATAAAAACACTAAATCTTACTATTTATTTGTATTCATCAAAATAAAATGGGAGAGTAATTATTTTAGTGGAATTATATCGACTTTCCAGCTTTACTGGTACAGAAGTACATCTGACTACAAATACACTAGATGATAAACACATAGCAAACTGGTATAATATATAATATTGCCGGTACAATTAACAGTACAAAAATACAAAAAGACTACAAAAATAATGTCCAGATTCAGAAGTTAACTCCCAATAAGAATCCTTCCATATAACTCTCTACAAACACACGTTTTTTTTAAGTACATTAATTTTGTTTTTGAAGGCATTCGACAAATATTATTTTATAATTTTGTCTAAAACTTGGCTCCCCTTGTAATCTTTAGCCATTATTCAATTATTTCTTTTCGTCATTCAAACGAAACCCATAAATGTTGTGTAGGATTACGGACTAAACCTGTCGTGTTCAACGAATCAAAGCAAAATAATAACAAACCAACATTTAAAGACATAAAAGTGGTAGTTATAACATAGTTTGTTTAGAATCACAACAGATTTTGTAGAACTTGGACAAAACTTTATCATTGCAAAAAAGTTATTTCATTAATGTCCTGTGTCGACGGGAAGAAGACAGCACTAGGAAGTGACAAGGACTCTTCAATAATATCGCGATAATAATCACGATAATAGTCACGATAACGTTATAATTAAACTTATCAACCCGATAGTTTAACAGTACTCAGTTTTTTTGCAAATATTCACGTTTACGTAACAACCTAACATAGCTTAATCAATAAATAGATTTTATACTGATCCTCAAATATGTATTTTTCACATTCTTTTTGGGTTAAGTTAACATGTATTATGTTATCATGATAGAATGAATACCTACCAATAATCGTCGTCATGACAACCCATGTGATCTGTAGGGGTAGATCCCTCCTTCATACGTTGACCAAGCACACTAAGATATAACTTTATCTCTTCACAACGTGTGTTTGTCTACAATAGTAACAATATAAACATTTTTACTCTTTAACAAGAGGGTAGTAAAAACATCAGCATAAACAGTTGTATCACAAAATATAGACAAGAGCTGTAAGTAGGACATGCACGACTTTTCTCAGTGCCTGATAGTAAAACAAGAGCCTGGAAAATGTAGTATTCTCAAAGTTAAAAAAAGTCCATAATTTTGTCGGAATGTATGTTAGAGATATGGGATATAAGACTTCTTAATATGCTTTTCAATAGGAGTGTGAAGTTTCAACCAGTTCCTTTTTCGTAGTTTTGGAGATAACAACTTGCACGCAAAACTTAACCAAAGTGTGACGCCCACACCTGGGTTGGTACAAGAGCTTTCCCTGTTATTCCAATAGTCAAGCTAAAAATGCTTCAGAATGTGTCATCAGATTAATGATAAAAGAAATAAAATTCGATCATCCCCCAGTGTTATTTTTCTATAATCAAAAATATTGCTAGAAATATGGATATCACGTTTTTAGCTTCTTAACACAGTTTAACTCGGTATACCCATACTTTAACTCGCTGTGAAATGACTTAATTACAGCCAATTAAGAAAATAAGAAACCGAAAAGAAATGAGCTGAGCCATAACACAACATAATGGGTTTGCGACCAGCATGGATCCAGACCAGCCTGCGCATCCGCGCAGTCTGATCAGGATCCATGCTGTTCGCTATCAGTTTCTCTACTTGTTATAGGGTTTGTAAGCGAACAGCATGGATCCTGATCAGACTGCGCGGATGCGCAGGCTGGTCTGGATCCATGCTGGTCGCCAACGCATTATGTTGGTTTTGTCATGGCGCGGTTCAAATGGTCATCAAAACATTCAAATACCTTGTTCACCAGGTCACTAATATATCCGCCACCATCACAGAATGTTTCCACGTGAGTTTTGAGTTGTTTGAAAATACCGTTTTCTGAATGCATCATTTCCAGCACGACGTTAGTTTGTGATATTTGTAAACAATCTATTCTCTTTCTGGTAAGACCAAGAGCCTTATCTAACTCAGGGACAACCTTGTCTATTGGACACAGTTTATGTTGAACATACAACCTGAAACCAAAATACTTACATGAAACATTTCTTAATATTGTTTACTTGTAGTATATCGAAAACTGCAATCCCGAAAAAATGTTCAAATCGGCAAAATTGAAAATATCAAATATCGCAGGCTCGGTTTGAGCCTGTTCATGGTCAGTACTGTTAATGCAAAACATCTTTACATTAACACAATCACAAAAGCTACTCAAGCCCAGGAATATCAGTAATTAAGGAAGTAGTTATTAACATTGGCTAGATTCGGGAAGAGAATTATGCCAATTATAAATAAAGGAAGGTTATTAGCGTTATGAGATGATGAAGAGGGTGACAACAGAATGTTACAAACACGCCTACGAGAATATTTGAAAACTTTTATCAATACTTCAAAGAATTACGCCACTTTTTTAGAATTTAGAAAATCTTTGTGATTTGCTTTTTTGTTTTTGTTCTCGTTTTCAGACAGGGGCTCTAGGTCAACGGGGAGTGAGGTCTTTTACGTGTTCTTAGCTCATAAAAAGCACGTGTTGAAAAACACTTTATTTTTATCTGTGTTTATTTGCTATGTAGAATGGAAATAACAGCAGATACGTATGGAACAGAATAATTGCATTTATTCTATCTTGCTTGATGACATTGGAACTTACATTATGCTTAATTCCATCTTGCTTGATGACATTGGAAGGTGCATTATGCTCGATACCATCTTGCTTGATGACATTGAAACTTGCAATATGCTTAATTCCATCTTGCTACATGACATTGGAACTTGCATTATGCTTGATTCCATCTTGCTTTTTGATATTTAAACTTTGCATTATGCTGGATTCCATTTTTCATTATTTCATTCAAACTTTTGTAGTGACCCATTCTTTCATTGAGTGATAACTATTAAACTGGAACGGTGTCTGAGGCTTTGTGGATTATGTTTGATCATCTTACATTATGATAAACAATTAAAACAATGTCTAGCGATTTGTGAACTGTTAAGGGGCGAGAACTCTGTTATCGATATCAACGGATTTTTTTTCCGCGATTTGCCTATCATCGGAATTTTCCGTATAGATACTGCGTACGTACATGCATATGGTATATAAATAAGTTCCAAGCGTTTAATACATAAATTGCAGTGGAAAGACTATAAATACAAGTAGTAAAGGATTATGCAATATAATTTATGTATACAGTCTAATAGAAAAAAATATGCTCGTAAACAGTTATTTAAAGGGGCAGTTATACGCACAGGCTTAAGGGCTGCACCCCCAGGTCATTCCAAAGATACGTTCATGAGCTTGGATGGGATATATACGTGTCAGTTTCATGCAATATTGGTCATAGTGTACACCCTTATCAAAACATATAATGCTGTCATCCAGTTGTTAAGCACCTGCCTAGGTACTGCGAAGGTTTTTATCAAATGACTTGGACATTAGAAAGTATTTATTGGCCTTTTAACTTATTAAATGTCTCAGAGTCTCTAATAGAGGCGAATAGGTATGCAACACATTAAAATATACATGTATAATAAGGAAAGAAGGAAGTTGTTTATTTTTGTAGCATGTGCATAGTCAATTACAAATGTTGGGCATATGTGTGTCTGATTATAGATCAGACATCCCGCATTGCTTAAAATATACTATGCACATCTTTCAGTAATATATTTTTATCACAGAAATTAATTGAACTCTAAAAAATTCTTACTAAATATGTTTTACTTATATAAAAACACATACACACAATGTATAGGAATCTGCTTTCATTATTACGGGCCAAGTAAAGTTGTGCCTGTCTTTAAAAGAAACTTCCATATATTTTTTGTAATAACACTATACATGTATATTCATACTGCCCACTTAAATTACAGTGTAAAGGATTTAAAGCACAATATTTGTGTGAAACCAAATTATATTTATTTAATTTTACAAAAAAAAAAAAAAAAATATCAAGTTTGTACATGTACTGTACTAAGTCGTGGCCATGAGTTACTAAGTCGTGGCCACGAGATAGTTAAGTCGTAGGAACGAGATACTAAATCGTAGCCATGAGATACTTTGTCATGGCCACGAGTTACTTAGTCGTTTAAGTCGTGGGAACGAGATAACTAAGTCGTGCAGACGAGATAATTAACCAATCAGATTAAACCATGATGTTGTAAACTTAGAAAATTTATGTTTAAAAATTTTACGTGCAACATTAATCTTATGTCACGCTATTTTGAAAATACTGAAGTGTTCACTTTGAACTTGATACATATCTTTAGGATCATAAGGCCCGGGTTCAGCTTACTATGTCTGAGGACTGATGAGCTAGCAAACAAAACAAGTATAGAAATGATAACTTGCATTGGACATGGTACTGTTTGTTAGCTGTTCTAACAGATAGATAAACACCAAGGCTTTGCAATTTACATATAATGTGGGTTGACATTACCTTGTTCCTATTCAAGTGGATGCTGGGCTGGTTCTTTTGCGTTTTCTCTGATTTTCCAAGATTCATTACTTACCTAAGATAAAGTTTTGACTCTAATAAGAAATTTTGTAAAGATTGAGATTCCTTGGTCTTCCATTCGATGAAATAAGCGATGGCTGCACATTTCTTAGCAACAGCAGAATCTGAGCTTAGCGACGAATTTACGGTGAAGGACGGAAATGGAGCTGAAAGAAAATAGGTTAATGATGACAAACGTTTCATTTACGGGTCAATCATTTTGTAAAAAAGTATTATCAAAACTGTTGATAAGTTCCTAATACATTTTTTATCATTATTAAAGATTAAGGCCTAGACCTTTATAAATATTTCAGTGCCAATTGTGCACGAATTTCTATATAAGATCGGACCACCTTTGGAAGCAGATGAAAAATTAAATTGTGTAATTTGCAAGCTGACAGTACTTGTGACATAAACAGTTACAGTCGTTTTAAACATGTGCCCTAGAAAAATGAAACCGATGTTTAGTATTACATTGTATTATACTTACGCAAGCTTGAAATAATAATCCTTGGCCATTCATAGTTATCTCTTTCAAATAAAAACAACTGAGCATTTTGGACGGACTTCGGAAAAGTTTGGATTTGTTCATGACTTTCGACGATTTCTTTGAGCTCTGTGTGACCTAAAAGTAACTGGCGATCAGCTGGAATTTCTGTTAAAGAAGCGATCTTCTCTTGTATGTGAGTATAACTGGAATAGGAAAGAAAGGCATTCATTTAACAACATCAGTTGAGACTTTTTCAGTGTTTATTTTCTTTATATAACTACTACCCTAAAACGGTACTGTTCCCAATAGAAAAAAAGACATTTAATTTCCCAATTTCCAATGTTTAAATACCCAAAATGGCTGTTAAAATTCCCACAAGGCCAACTGATTTCTCTGAAATCATTTAAATCCAACATATTGATATAAATTACCACTCAATAGCTCTACCTGGACAGCTGGACAGTGGGAGCTGTTAGCTATCTTTATTCATGATGACTAATCTTATTTGTAGCTGAAAGAATGCATTAAGAAAAAATCCCAATTTAAGTAAAAACAAAAGGGCCATGATGGCCCTGAAGTTTCTCACCTGTATATAGGTCCCCGGAGCGGGGCCAGTTTAAACCCCAGGGCTTTTATTTGAACAATTTTGGTAGACACCAATTAGAAGATGTTTTATGCAAAACATCTAAAGTCTAGCTGGTCAAGTTTTTTCTTTACACAAGTTTCAAGTTTCAAGTTTATTTCAAAGTACATTTGGACAATAATTATGTCCATGCATACACAGTTCATATAACAAACATTCAATACAATCAAATGGTCAATGTCACACTTTATAAAACATATATCATTAAGTTACACAGTATTTTACAATCAGAAAATGTAAACTACAGATAGAATATACTATCAACATGTCTCAATTCATATACTGGTAAATAAATACTAAGGAAAGATACCATCCTATTAATAAGGAAGTAAATCACAAAACAAAACGAAAATAGGTGTATGTAAGATACAGTTATACAGCGTTTGGGACAAACTTTTGATTAACTATAAAGAATAGTGTTTCGAACATCGAAAGCTTTAAATATATACATTGATAAGTTTCTTATTTCTATTTCATTTTCTGAATTCATCAATGTAACAAATTTAGGTATATTTGGTCTTTTCCAAAAGTGTTTTTTTAGATATTTTTTTCGTAAATCATTATATAGAGAACATTCTAAAATAAAGTGAAATTCATCTTCCAAAATAAAAACAATTTTTACATTTCCTATCATCAAAAGGTATAGCAATAGGTTTATTCCACCTGCCGGTTTCAATCTCGAGTCTATGTGAAGAAACACTTAGCCGGGACAGAGCAATTCTAAATTTTTCAATATTAATACAGTTTAAATACTTTTGAAATTTAAAATCTGCAAATATTACATATGTACGAGCTCTAGTTGAGTTATTTATTTCTGAAAACCAATTTTGGATAAAAACATCATTTACTCTTTGTTTTACTAAACTAATAAATACATCTACATTGCCTACGCCTTGAGATAACCATGCATCATTAAAACCAAGCGACTGTAATAAATCTTTAACACTTCTAACCCATGTTTTTTGTTAGGTCTTACCTGTAACTCTCTGTACAATAAATCATAAACTATTTTAACATATTTTATATCTTCAAGCTGTATAATTTTAAGCCAATATTTTATTACACTCACAATTCTTCTGCATTTCAAATTTGTTCTACCTAATTCACCATAAATAAAATTGTTCTGAGTTTGAAGTCTGACGCCTAACATTTTTTTACAAAAATTTAAATGCACTTTTTCTAATTTACAACAATCATATATACCGCTTATCTCTGAAGCATAATTCAAAATTGGTGAGATCAATTTATCAAAAAGGTCTAGTTTATGTTTCACAGTTATACATGGGAATTTAATCAAATCTAGTTGTAATTTATATAATGCCTTCAAAGCCTGACCAGATAATGTTTCAAAAGAAGTATTAAAAGATCCACCAGTTGTAAAGACTACTCCTAGATAAGTAAATTTGTCGGCAATTTCTAAATTTTCTCCTTTATATACGAATGAAATGTTATGTCTTAATCTGCCTTTTCTGAAAATCATTATTTTAGTTTTCTTAATATTTACAGTTAATCTCCACTTATCACAATAATTCTCCAATAACAATAAACCTTTATGTAAGCCTTCTTCTGTTTCAGATAGAATAACGATATCATCTGCATATAAGAGTAAAAACAATTTTAAGAAACCTAAATCAACTCCTTCAAATTTATTCATAATAAAATATTCTTCTATATCATTAAGATACATGGCGAACAAAAAAGGTGATAAAGACTCTCCTTGGGGGGGCGCTGTCAGGAGAAATGTCTGCCTTGATGTTATTTAATCTAAGAAAAGATTAAGTAATAAATACTAGAACCAATTTCCAAGATATGGAGGCTGGGCAGCACCGCCTGACATAAAAGTGAAATATTCTCAGTTGGAAAACTAGCATGTAATTGTTTAGTTAACACTATCTTTTTTTAGGTATTTTTATCCTTTTCTATTCCAAACCAATATATACATGTAAACAACAAACTCTGATTATTATTTACACCCAAAACAAAGAACTCTGATCATTATTTACACCCAAAACAAACACACATCATTTATCAGCCACTTATACGAAATATCTTTCGTCGTATACGTCTTTTATACGAAACAAAACAAGACACCTGGCGAGCCCAAGCTCTAAACAACTTATGATTAACAAATCAATAAAATCACTACAAAATGAAGAACACAAAACTGAATATTTTTACAACTCTAAGATATAGTATAATCCACAAACATTCATCCAACAATATTAACTTCACACAATCTAATCAGCATCAGAAAACAACTTAAACTAAAGCACCCAATATTTACATATATCCTCAAAACAAAGCAGCAACTAATATAACCTTGACAATACCAAACATTCAACCAATATCAACCAATTATATCTTCACAAATAGATATAACTCAACAACCTAAACAACTAATTACAACCAATAAACCCTGATCAATTAAGATCACCACAATTATATTCAACCACTTCAACAAACCAACAAAACTGACTTCAAAACAACAAAATTCTCTTCAAAACAACAAAATTCTTCTCCCAATAAAAAAAATAACCCCTCACACTATAAGCGTGTGTCTCCTAACTGATGTAAAATCTCTCTCTAAACGCGCATATTTGCTAGCTGAAACGATTTGACATTTAAACATGTATACATATTTTATACTCCCAGCAACAGGTTTATAAATGAAACTTTACATTGAAATATGATACACTTCAGTGTATCCTGACTCGTTGTAAAAAAACTATCTACAGTGAAACTGTGATTATTCTGACAGGCGCCTAACACACATGAAAATTCTTCACTCAAAACATTTTGATATTTTATTCTGGATCTTACACTTTCGTACATTGATTTAATAACGTCTAACATTTTTCCTCTTACACCATATTTAATTAATTTAAACCATATAATATCTCTAACTAAATAGTCAAAAGCCTTAGTAAAATCAACAAACGCAGCATATAGTTTCTTATTGTTATTCAACATATACGTAATAAGGCCGTGCAAAACAAAAATGTTATCTATGGTTCCCATTTGTTGTCTAAAACCGGACTGAGCTTCAATGTAGACGTGATATTTTTCTGCCCAAGTATTTAATCTATCATTTAAAATTTTTGTAAATAATTTACCAAAAGAACTTAGTAAAGTAATTCCTCTATAGTTACTTGGATCATTAATGTCACCCTTTTTATGAAGCGGTACTATAAAGCCTTCGGTCCATTGTTCCGGAAAGTAACCTAAATCAAATATTTTATTAAAAAGATTATTTAGAGTATTAACAAAATGAGTTGAACAGGAACCGTATTTAAAAAATTCATTTAATAAGTAGTCGGAACCTGCTGATTTCCCAGAGTTTAAGTTTTTTACATGCTTTTATTATTTCCAGGTTACTAAATGGTATATTTAACTCAGAAAACATAATATTTAATTCACCATCCAAGTACCTATTATTAAAATATAAAACATCTTCATCTGGTTGATAAAAAACTGAATCAGGATCATTTATAGCTTTAAAATAACGCTGAAAATCATTCGATGACAAACTACAATTATTACAACAGTACCTCTGAGCATCTTCCAGTATGCTTTAGCATTCAAAATACGTTCATTTTCAAGTTTTTTAGACTGATCTTTATCATAAAAGAATTTCTTTTTTCTAACAGTTTTTTTATATTCATCCCTGGCCTTTACCATAGCTTCCCTGTTTTCATCACATGAATAATTTCTGAACATATTTAAACATCTATAATAATTCTGTTTCAAATTTTTACACTCTCCATCAAAATAAGGCACATTTACATTGGTAGGCTTTTTTGGGTTTGAATTTATTCTCTTTTTAAACAAAGGGGAGCAAATATCGTCTAAAACATTACATAATTTTTTCAAACTATCATTTATATGCGAACTATTTTCTGCAATTATAATATCTTGGGAAATAGTTTTAAGATTTTCTTCAACATTACGACTTGACATAATATTAATATATTCTCCTTGCTTATTGTTGTCCCATTTATACATGAAAGGAACACCTTTTTCATTTTTATCATCTTCTACCGTATGAATAGTATTTAAATTCATATTACATTTTAAGCTAAATTCAACAACACAATGATCAGATAAAATATTTGGATCTTTTACTTCAAACCTATGTATATACTTAAAAAAACTACTTTCACATAAAACATAATCAATTACACTACTACCTTGAATATTCACACATGTACATTTACCAATGTTTTTATCTACACCACATCTACCATTCAATACTCTTAATCCGGTAGATTTACAAAAATTTAATAATAACTTTCCGTACTCATTAATTTTTTTATCTTGACTCTTTCTTGGTAATATTTCATCAGGTACATAAAAATCAGGCAATAAATCTGCCAAATGAAACGGCTCATCTTCAACATAATCTGCCTTTTCTCCAATTCTAGCATTAAAATCTGCTGTTATAATAAACTGACAATTCCCCTCATAAATAGTTTCAAATTCCAACATGTCATTAATAATAAGATCAAAAATAGACTCATAAGTTAGAAATTCCCTAGTACTACCTTGTGGTGTGTTGTATGCTAAACATAATAACATGTCAAAGTCTGTATTGCATAAACATTTATCTATTTTAAGCCAAATTATACAGTCGTCTGTTTTCTTTAAAAAAGTCACATATTTACTTAACGTGTCGCGCACATATATAATTATACCCCCGCTATTTCTTTTAGCTCCCTTTGATTTGTATTTCCTATTCAAAATATATGATTGGAAATTTTTAACGTTATAGTCAAAAACGTCACTTGACCAAGTCTCTGTAAACAATAATATATCGTTTTCCGAAAAAAGATTAATCATTTCAGGGGAGTTTAATTTATCGTAGCTTTTCCCTATTAACCCCTGTACGTTTAATAAACATAGTTTGACCTCACTTTGTCCCAATACGCTGTCCTACTTTCTGACGTGACCCTCATTCTCATTGGCTGACGAATCATTTGATCTCGTGTTGACATGTTTATTTTTATCCGCTGGTTTTCCGATGTTCGCGTGAGATGATTCATTTGTTCGTCCATTGATGACCAACCGTCTCTCGTTACCCCAATTTCTATTACCGGTATTCAGGTTATTTTTAGCACTATTTACATCAACATGTATATTTGGGTTTTCTGACGCGTGTGATTTCTTTTGATTTGATTTATTTCTGGATTTATTTTGTTTTCTGGTTGAGGATTACACATATAGTTAAAAACAATGACACACCTGGGGCAGGGCCAGTTTGGACCCAAGGGCCTTTATTTTAAAAAAAAACTTTTGTAGACACTTACTAGAAAATGTTTCATGCTTAATATCTGAACTCTAGCTATTCGGGTTTTTTCAAAGAAGATTTTTAAAATTTTTGCTATACACATATAAGGAAAATCAATGTCCCCCGGGGCGGGGCCAATTTTGACCCCAGGGCTTTTATTTGAACAAACTTTGTAGACACTCACTAGAAGATGCTTCGTGCTTAATATCTAAACTCTAGCTATTTGAGTTTTTTCAAAGAAGATTTTTTAAGTTTTTGTTATACACATATAAGAAAAATGAATGACCCCCGGGGCGGGGCCAATTTTGACCCCAGTGCTTTTATTTGAACAAACTTGGTAGACATCCATAGAACATGTTTCGTGCTAAATAGCTAAGCTCTAGCTCTTTTGGTTCTTTAAAAGAAGATTTTTTAAGTTTTTACTATATGCATATAGGGAAAATCAATGACCCCCTGGGGCGGGGCCAATTTTGACCCCAGGGCTTTTATTTGAACAAACCTGGTAGAAACCCATTAGAAGATGTTTCATGCTAAATATCTTAGCTCTAGCTCTTTGGGTTCTTTAAAAGAAGATTTTTTAAGTTTTTACTATATGCATATAGGGAAAATCAATGACCCCATGGGGCGGAGCCAATTTTAACCCCATGGCTATTATTTGAACAAACGTGGTAGACATTCACTAGAAGATGTTTCATGCCAAATATCTAAGCTCTAGCTCTTTGGGTTTTTTAGAAGAAGGTATTCAAAGTTTTTTCTTTTGGTTGCCATGGCAACCAGAGTTCTGCATGGAATGGAATTCTTTGAACACCTTTGTTAAGGCTTCACACAAGGAACATCCCTGTGAAGTTTCATTATGATCTGCCTTATGGTTTCATTGTAGATGTCGTTTTAAAAGTGTGAACGAACGACGTACGACGCACGAGAGACGACGGACGAAGAGTGATCCTAATAGCTCACCCTGAGCATATGCTCAGGTGAGCTAAAAACGCATTTTTGTCCCAACCAGTCTGGTACTGGCACCAATCCCAAAGTAGAGAAAAAAACGCTGTTTCTTCTTACTTTTAGGACCCACTAGTAATACATCCAGTTGCAAAAAAAATGTGTGCATCTGGTTCAAATTAAGTAAATACATGTATTGACAAGAGTGAATGACATAAACCTATTACCAGTCTGTTTTATGGAGATACAGAATTGTCTGGGTGCCAGTCTGGGCACAGAACATTTTAAGCGTCTTCATCTGTATGACGTCATTAACTGCGATGAAATACTGATCAAACGTCATTGCACGAGCCGTATTTATTTCAAACAAGGCAGCTAAAATTGGCTCTATAAGTTTTCTTAATCCCCTAAAAAAGGCAAAAAACAAATATGAATGAGGCAATGTGGTCACTTAAGAAAAACGACATAAATTCATATATTAGAAATTGCTAAGACTGGGACAGGGTCGTAATTTAAACAAAACTTCACCCGCTTTAACGTTAATAATTAGATGTTAATATAAATTAGCTTAAAGAATTACATAGATCTAGTTGAATGGTGTGCATTTAGAATTTTTATAAGTTCTGTAATAAAAACTCTGGTTTTACTATAAAAACAAACTTATGAATATGTGTTCATATGACAATAATATAAGTAACATTTCAGTAAGCCTAACCTGGATATATAACAGTTGTCAGGTAAATTTTGAGACCTATCTATAGGTCCATTTTGATCTCTTTGTATACCGGACACATCACCTGACCGTCTACCTGCCATGATCTCGAACCTACAAATTTCAAATAAAATTATAAGTTAAGATCTGTTTCAAAGGGATATTCAAGCGTTATTAAAGCAATTAAAAACATGTTCTATTTTGACAAAACAATACATAATATATAGTTATCAACCATTGCAAGAGAACATAAACAATTAAACCGCGTGTATTGTCCTTTTGTTTGATATAATTAATTTCTATATATAATATTTTAAATCTAAAGGAATATGAAACTAGATCTTTTATAAAAAGAAATGTCTTTTCTTTGCACTAAGAAGGCGTAAATGCGAATGTGTGTGTGTGGGGGGGGGGGGGGGTAAAAATACTGTATAATTAAAACTGAAAACAACAAAGCAATTCACTTATGTTTATTTTCCTACTGTAACCTCCTAAAAGGCCTTTTTAAATATTTTCTTAGTATTTCTAACTAATCTTAAGTGACCTCTTACATCATACGAGAGTCATTCCTGCCCCCAAACGCTTGAAATGGGAGTTTTCCGGTTGCTACGTGATATATCGTCACAGCCATGCTCCAAAGGTCAACCGATGATGTAAAATGCTGTTGACCCGGTTGACGTAACACGGCCCTTTGAAACATGTCCGGGTGCTAAAGAGTAAAATCATCCAGTTCAAACACTAATCTAAAAACCAACGCACTTTGCACCTGGTCAGCATGATTGTGTAGACAAACAAGGAAAGTAATTGCTTATCACAAGTAAAGAAGTCATGAGACATTGTATCATCATTATTTAACACTGAATAATAAACCTTTCTTACATTCTTCATGATTTTCACTATCAAATGATAATTAAAAATTTGTTGACCCATAGATGATTTACATATACTTATGTTAGAAATCGGGTAACATAAACCCCAGTCGTCCATTGTTTAAAAGTAATACAGAATATATTGGAGGTGTATTAGGTGTGCAATGTATATGCAAAATCATGGAATGGTTTACACTATAATGAGAATATATTTCCATTTAAGTATTTAATATTTAAATTTATATATTTTTGTCTGTGCGAAACGTTTCTGTCACAGTCTCACACTTTTTGCCACACTATTGTCACACTTTTGTTACCCTAGCTGTCACTGAACGTGATTCTAGTCATAGGCCGACACAAAAGTTTCATATCATTGAAATTTGAAAGACCATTAATCAATAAGAAAGACATAATTATATAATGACAAATTAATAAAGATAATATTTACAATATATTCTTCTGTTCCATAAATAGACATAAAGGTTTCATCTTCCCCTAACTCCTTTGCGGCTCCGAAATCAGTTAATATGTATACTGGGCTGAAAACAATATGAGCTTGTTTCTCTGTCAACACGGTAACTATGTATACAACAAAGAAATGAGTCAGGAAATATTTCCCCAAGATTTCAAATCTTATCCCCTACAAAGGCAATAACAAAAGAGTACATATACACACCTATTAGATATTCTAACATAATTATGATATTACAACAAATGTGCCAATATTTTATTTTATTAAGGAAATTAACTTTCTGGATAAGTCATAAAAGATGCACTGCACTTAGTCCTTCCCATTTAAACTTTTTTTTTATATGTTTCTGTATTGTCGGGCACAAATAATAAACACATATATTATAGATTAGGTTTAACTAGGTGCAAATATATGAGCTCATAATGCACTCAACGTATGCAATAACAGAGGTGGACATTAAAATATGTATTGGTTAAAAGTTTGAATGTTTTTTGGGGGATAATATTTAACGTAGGAAAAAAGAACAAATATTTCTGTTCTCCACACCAATCTCGAATATTAATATTCTATTACATTATTAACCCTTTCTTAAATTTGCTTTCCTGTTTTTTTTGTTTTTTTTTTCATTAACCCTTTACCACATATATACGCGAAACAACGCACTTTCGACCCCCCCCCCCCTTATTTAGGTCTCAAATAGTTAAAAAATGTCCTATTTGGGCCCCAAACATAAGTTTTCGTTTGAGAAATGTTGCTAAAAAAATTGAGCACTTTTTCGGCGCCGCCCCCATCCAGAAGATACATCAGGGGGTTGCCAGAAGAGGGATTTGCCTCCTTCTGTTAGGGGGTTTGAAGGGGGGCGGAGTCCCCCTCATCGCCAAGAAAATTTTGGACTTGTGAGAGGCTAAAAATGACCCCAGGTCGATCATAATGTAACGTTTGACCAACGCTGAAAAGCCCTTGACTCTATCTCAATCCCTTGAGAAGTTGCTGCACTTTGAATAAATTTTGATGGAAAAAATCGAGGCAAAAAAGTGATTTTTGGCAATTTTGAGATGTCCCCTCGTTGCCATGGTAACAGGAAATTTAAGACTGAGCATGTCGTTACAAAGGCAATGGTCCAGTCAACATTTGTGCCAAGTTTGATTAGTATTGAAGCATTTTTAATAGTTTCATAGCAGTTTGAACTTGTAACAGGAGGCTTTTCAGTGAAAACGGCCATGTTTCACAATATGCTCATGGGGGAAAGGGTTAAAATAGTGTATCAGCAGAAAAACAGAAAAGCGATACACTCACATGACCCTGAAAACGCCTGAATCTACCAGGACGTTATATCAAGTATGAATAATTTAACCACGCCCCCCCCCTATGTGTCAGCTTAGAACTATTCATTCATGTGTTAATATGTTGTAACTATGTTGTCAATGAAAACAAAAAAATATTTCAATTTATTGGTCTTAAAAAATCAGACTATAGGAGTCATTAACTAAAAATTGACAATGAGTCTACCTTATTATAATATCTATTTATATCTATTTAGGTCAGTATGTATCGTATTTAAATTTGTACACGAAGAGTAAAAAAACTGGTTTAGTTATGTTTGGTTTAGTTCTTTATTTCGGTTATTTTGTTTATTGGTTAAAGTAAACATCAAAATGTTTATTGGTTAAAGTAAACATCAAAATTCATATTCAATATTTCAAAATATTACAAAACATAACATACTCGCCGTCAACAATGTACGTAGTGTGTCATGTAACTAGGCCATGTCATAAAGTAGAACGCCTGTCATATGATTAGTAGCGGCATGTGGGAAATTATTATTTAATATTTTAAAATGGTAAAGGCTTTTAAGATCGTATAAAGGGACTCTCAGGCAAGGAATCCCAATCAAATCAATTTATGTTATACGTCTTGTTTCTCTGTCAACACGGTAACTATGTATACAACAAAGAAATGAGTCAGGAAATATTTCCCCAATATTTCAAATCTTTTCCCCTACAAAGGCAATAACAAAAGAGTACATCTACACCTAGATATTCTAACATATGATATTACCATAAATGTGCCACTATTTTATTTTATTAAAGGAAATTAACTTTCTGGATAAGTCATAAAAGATGCACTGCACTTAGTCCTTCCCATTTAAACTTTTTTTTATATGTCTCTGTATTGTCGGGCACAAATAATAAGCAAATATATCAATTTTTATAATGACAATATTTTCCCTGCCCACATTTAAAGAACATAGTACTTTTCCATCATGACATAACCCAGAAGTTATAAATAATCATGTATTTCTACAAGTAAAATGGTTTCCTGCGGTGAACATTTTAATGATATAAAGATATTTCATTTAACTAGTTTCAACATTATTTGGGGGGAATAAATAAACATTTGTATCAGGAATATAGTTGACAATTGAATAAACAATCAATATTGAAGAAGGTCTTTGGAAACTGGTGACCGTTGAAGACCGGAGAAGGTTGAACATAAAATAATTATTTCTTTTTAAGAAAATGCATAAATAGGCCTACCATTTTATGAATAATTCCGAGCAAACAAAGAATAAAGTGAACACACAAGTTTACGCAGAAAATATCTCTATTTATTATGGCAGATGCCACTACGAATATTTTAATTTTGTAGATTTTCAGTATAAACAATTTATTGTTTGTAAAATTTGATAGATATTAAAGAAACATTGATAATTTTCAAATACTACATTCAAGTTTTTCCACCTTAAACGGTAAAATAATTATAGAAAATTAGAAATATCCCGTAATAGTTTTTGTTCTTAATTAGGTGTAATTCGGACTAATTCCCTACATGTAAATCCGTAACGTACCGGCAAACGGTATTTAGCTAGGTTTTCGAAAAGGTCTATTAACCAATTATGTACGGTTTACAGATCACATGCTCCTCCATGTACCAAAAACAGGTCACGTGCTCCTCCATGCCTCAAAAGTTAAACGCGTACCAATACCCCTGGAGACCGCAGGGAATAACACAGAGTTCTAAATTTCTAAGTAATCCAAAACAAAAAACAAAACAAGAAACATGTTGAAATACTGTAATATGTTGGGAAATACATTGTACTAATTTTCCAGTGTGTCGCTAAACTTGTTTTACTAGAATTACTTCTTGAGTACATATACCATTTTGAATTGTATGCATGCTTTATAATGATTTTAACAAATTATATGTACACTCAACAATTTTGTAAATCTAACACTGGCCATGCTAAATATCTCTATGGGCTGTGTAAATTTTTTTAACCTGGACATAATCATCATTTTTAGAGAAATGTTCAAAATGTTATTGGCAGAATCACATATCTGACTAATTTTGGTGTGTTTTGGTCACATGGCTAGATACTTTAAAGATAAAATATAGATTATATTCATAAAATGCATTATAAATGATTGAGAGACACCTGTATTTTCTGTCTGTCTGTCTGTTAAATACATGACTCACCTCCCATCTTCATCAACTTTTTTCATTATATTTCCAGGCTTAATATCTCTGTGAATTACCCCTTTTTGATTGAGGTATTTCAGACCACTTGCTGGAATGATATAAAAAACAAGCATTTCAGTATGTCCTATTCCACTTAAAAAATCACGCTCAAAAGTCTTAAAACATAAAATTTGAATTTCTTACATAGATAAGTTGGGACACTTAACAAAGAATGATATACAAAACATAATTAAGAAATATATTCAGAAATGAATTGAAAATCATATTTTTGTACTATTTTTAGCCCAGTTTGAGTGAAAAGAGTTGCAAGGCTTTCCATTTTAGGTCATTTTTCACATCTAGAATAATTGCTTTATGCTAACGGAGCAAGCAAATGATCTGAAAATCTGCACACAAGCTATTGGTCTAGACCTACATCAAATAGAATGTTTATCTCGAAGAAATATTTTCAGTCTGGTTATGTCAAAAAAACCTCAATGGAGTCCCTTTGAGCATTAAAATAACTAAAGAATAGTGTATACTTGATTCAGATTGAACTCTTTAATATAGTACTCTATTTATCACATGTACAAAGCTTGCATTATTACTTACTTATATCTTTCAGAAACGTTAGAAATTCTTTTTCCTGGAAACCAAATCCGTTTTGAGGTTGTTCTAAAAGGTTATATACACTGCCACACTGACAGTATGGCATAACAATAACATACTGACCCGATCCAATCTGAAAAAAAATATTACAAAATTACATTTACAACATTACTTTACCATAATATAAAGTTATTACCTATTTCCCTGGACACAAAATTTCATATCCTTCAAATCTATTCAGAATTGTTTAAAAAAGAGTCAGCAATAAAAATTTGTCACTAAGAACTTATATAACACATAATTTAAAGTCATGCTTTTTGAAATATGTTCACCTTTAGCTGAATTAATATCAATTTATGTATAAATTTTGAATCATTGTGCCATAATAAATTGCTAAATATGTTATAAATCAATTAAAAATGATATCGTTTTACCACTCTTTAAACAATTTGGTTGTTAGTTTTCTTCAATAAAGTACAAAAACCTTGGTTACTGCTTCTTTAGTTTACGTATCTACTGACACCATTTCCAGTACTATTGAATATTTTCATATTTAAAGCAAAGTATCTCCATACTGAAATTAAACAATTCAACTGATTAAAGAAATATTTTACCTCACTCTCACATGCAAAGAGTTGCATGACATTCCTATGGTCAACCGATTTCAGGAGTTCGGTCTCTCGAAGTCTCGCCTGCGTAATTTGACGAGAGTCAACATTTGAAAATACTTTGATAGCAACCTGTTGGCCATTTTTCTGCAACCAGAAATTAGAGATAAACTTTTTAACATATTAGTTTAAGTTCAACCTGTACAAAACTCTTGTGAAAGCATCTTTGAATGTTTATTAAATTGTATTAATATAACATAATCTTATTGATTAATACAATTAAGTCAAAATGTACTGTATATGTTAAAGGTATTCATTAACATAATTTCATTTTTCAACAAGTATAGTAAATTAAGTACATATTATTACTGATATGTACAAGAAGATTTTCAATCAAAGTCAAATCAGTTAACTAAAAGACCAGGACAAGACAACATGTGGACAACATGTTGTTCTTTTATTTCTCCATCTAAACAGCTAAGAGTATAACCATGGAATTACCTGTGACAATGATAAACAGAATCATTTATACCATTACTTAAGATTGATCTCTCAATATATATACAGGACTGAATAATATTTTTGGCAATAAGATAACATATTATTAAATATCATAATTCATATCCCCTCACAATTATATTTGTATTGTTAATTTCCCATAGACCAATGTGAGTTATTCTTTCTTTAAATTCAAGTGTACCATGTGACTAAAAATTTTGCACTGTTAACTTACATTGGTAACAATACTTATAATTTCACAGTAATAATATGAAAAAACCTATAGAAACAGTATCCTAAGGAAGTATTAATTTTGTTTAGAATAATAAACAAGAAAAGCATTGGGGCGACGCCAAAAGAATTTGATCCAGGTTTGCACCTAAATACTTAACAAAAGGTGTGTACTTTATAGCAGTACCATTTCATGTGACCTGGAAGCTTGGCCCAGTTTAAGTTGAAACTTAAACCAAAAAGAATAGACTCTGTCTTGCCAAGATGCAAAGACAATTTATAGTCAATAAACCAATCTTAAGATTTACTTTACCAGATACAATGATACCTGAGTCATCATCATATAATGACAGGCACAAGTATCACACCTGGAAGAAAAAAAATATGACCAGATTAATAAAAAATCTGTGTTCATCTTAAAAGTGTCAAAAACAAAAACAAAAAATGTAAATAATGACCCTTTAAAAATATACTATTAACTTAAAGTATATTTTTAAAGGGGGTCATCATTAATTTACATTTTTTTTTTTGGTTTGTGAACTTTTAAGATGAACACAGGTTTTTTTATCAATCTGGTAATATTTTTTCTTCCAGGTCTGATACTTGTGCCTGTGCATAATAATAATTTGAAGCTTATTGCTTAGGGTTGCAGACATGTCATTGACATATATTAGACATAAAAGAGGACCTAAAATGAACATCAGGGGACACCATTAGGTATTCAGAGAGAAGGAGTACCAGCCACATTCAGCAGCTGCTATCAGAGATAAGACTTGAACCATGCAAGAATGTCATTACATATGGCAGATGCTTGAAGTTCCATGAAGAAAGAAGAAAAAAGAACTTCTTCATGTGCAGTATAGTGTGATCAACTGTACCAAAATGCTTTTTGTAGATCTAAAAGTAATCACGCAATACTGCCTTTGTCCATTTCAAATTAAATGCAATCTATTAAATGAATCAAACATGTGTCAGTTGAAAAACCACTTCTAAACCCTGACTGAAACTGCCTGAACCATGACTCGAACCCATGACTTTCAGAAGAAACCAACTGAGCTATCTGGCCGGCTACACATTTTCTCTTTAATAATGAAACAGTTCTAAACCTAAACCTTTTTCCCCACTATATTGATTCATGTACTTGAATTTCTGATGTTTACACAGAGCATAGTGAATTAAACTCATGGTTATTTGCAGTAACAGGATGAGAAAAACTTTCAGCTTGACCAGAACTCAAACCTGTGACCCACAGATTAATGTACCGCGGCTGTAGCGATTGAGCTATCTGGCCGCTTACACATTTTCTCCCCTAAATAGTGAACAGTTCTAAACCGTGACAGATATTTAGATTTTTAAATTAACAGATAATTAATTCTTAATTAATAAATAAGAAAAAAAAACCTTACATACTCATTATATAAGTCTTTATTAAAATAACAATTTATATAATTATTATTGTATAATTATTTTTACTAAAAACTTTGGGCTAAGACAGTTTTTGGTTGTGCCATTATTTATAACAGGTCAATTTGAAAGTGAATATAACTGTGCTAATACATGTACAATATCTATGATAAGAAATTTTATGAAGGCTGATTTGTATTTTACATCAAGGGCACCGGGCGAAAACATGAAAATGCAACAAACAAACCACTTTGTGGTAGATTGTATTTTCATGTTTTCATCTGGCGCCCTGTTACTTTTTGTACTTTGTTGGTTTTCATGTGGCACAAATCACCCACTATAAAATTTAGTGTACAAATTTATCCAAGGACAAGTATCAATCTACTCTATGTAAAGTCTGTTGTCGGGTTGACTCAGGAGACCTGGAGGTTGAGACCGGTGTCCCTCCATTACAAATAGATTAGACAGAAGCAGTCCTTTTCAAACTATGCACATATTAGAAAAAAATTAGAATAACTATTCAGAACATGATTTTTTGAGGCTTTATCAATTATATTGCTTGATCCACTTAGTCTCAGGACATTTTCAATCAATACATGTATTATCATTTATAACTTTAAATGAAAGTCTCATCCCTTTAATAATAATGACATAACTGCAACTCTTTAAATTCAGAAATATTATAAGTCTCATCATACCAATATACTAAGATATAAATGTATGCACATAACATTAATAATTCCAAGTTTCTATTAAATAAATATGAAATATTGGGTATATAAAGCCAGTAAAAGTATTTATTATATACTTTGAAATGAAATATTGAGAAATATTGATGAATTAAAATGCGTATTTTCATTATCCGTATTTTCACTGTAAAAATTTATTTTTCACTGCAGTGAAACATATTTTCTGTATTTTCACTGGTGTCTTGCCGGTCTACTTTCTTTTAAATTCTGCCAGTACTCAAAATTTAAGGGAAAGTCTTGCAAATTTTAATGTCCAGAAAGAGAAAAATGTATAATTTTATAATAAACAGAAAATTCAAGTTTTTTCTATAAATACATGATTTATTTTCATCTTGTGGCATGAAAATTACCATATTTCACTCGTGGCTACCGCCACTCATGAAATATTTATTTTCATACCACTCGATGAAAATAAATCATGTATTTATAGAAAAAACTTGAATATCCTCTATATATATATATATATATATCAATATTCACTCATCAGGGCCTCTATGCTTTTGATGACCTTACAACTGGTAAATTTTATAAAACAAAAATTGTAAGTAATACCTAAGATAGAAAAGAACAAATAATTTAGTAAACATGATTTACTTCCCCTTGAAATAAAGAAAACATGAAACCCAAAAGAACACCCTAAACATCAAAATTAAGAAATGTTGCAGGCTCATTTTAATTATGCCATGCAAATTAATGGTAAAGTATTCATAAAAAAGTAGATGGCCATGTGACAGCAGTAATTGCAGAAAATCGGATAGCTGTCAACATACGGATACTGGTACACTTTGTAAAAACAACCATTCTGTTCAATAGATAAACGTAATATGGATAAAATCAATAGGATAATCGTTTTACAACAGTCCATTACCTATCCTAATACTCATTTGCAGGTGAAATTTCTTCTTGTAGGAAAAGTTTTTAAAAATATATAAATGAATGAGCATCAATGTAGACCAACAAACGATATTCGAAATCCGGGTTTTAGTATTCTCAATAAAACAAATTGGACAAGCCTGTTAATCTGAGCCTGCAATTTCGTGAAAATAATATCACAATGCACATGCTTTTTATATAAAGTTATTAAATACAAATATAACAACATATTTGTTTACTTGATTTTTACGAATCAAAATAAATCTAATCAACACAACATGAAATTAACTGCTAATAATAACAGCTCCTTCCATAGGCCAAAATAAAAAGCATTCCATATAAGACAAGAAAAGCATTGATGCAAAGCATCAAAGGGCGACGCCAAAAGAATTTGATCCAGGTTTGCACCTAAATACTTAACAAAAGATGTGTACTTTATAGCAGTACCAATTCATGTGACCTGGAGGCTTGGCCCAGTTTATGTTGAAACTTAAACCAAAAAGAATAGACTCTGTCTTGCCAAGATGCAAAGACAATTTATAGTCAGTAAACCAATCTTAAGATTTATTTTACCAGATACAAGGATACCTGAGTCATCATCATATAATGACAGGCACAAGTATCAGACCTGGGAAGAAAAAATATGACCAGATTAATAAAAAATCTGTGTTCATCTTAAAAGTGTCAAAAACCAAAAAAAAAAATGTAAATAATGACCCCCTTTAAAAATATACTATTAACTTAAAGTATATTTTTAAAGGGGGTCATCATTTACATTTTTTTTTTGGTTTGTGACACTTTTAAGATGAATAGTTCAAGAAATTTGTGAAAAAATTGTGCACCTTCTGTGAAAAGCATGAAACTTGGCATGGTGTCAAGGAATGGTATTTCAAGTTATTTCAGCCTGGGATCCACTTTTTAAAAATCCAAGATGGCCGCCAAAATCCAAGATGGCCGCCAAAATGTAAAATGTACACAGTGCATGTCAGAATGAAGTTATTTAAATGACTAAGAAATGATATAAATTGACATTATAGTCAAAATAGTAATTTCTTGGGAAAATGCTTAAGTAGCATTTGTAGAAATTTTCAATATGGCTTAAATCAAAATATGCTGCCATTAAAATGAGGATATTTTGACAAATTTCTATAAAAAAGGTAATTTGTATCGTCAACATTTTTATACATGTAAAAAACTAAAAAAGTGGTATTCCTGCATAAAACTGCATATACAGATGTACATTTACAGAGAAAAAAAACTTGCATTTATGGATGAAACCATGCCAGCAACACATTATTTAGCTTGAATATTTCAAAGAATAGGGAGCAAGTGATATTGTACACCAAAATGCGTCAGCTTTACAAGTTTTTCAATGCAAGTTGGTTTTGTAAA